CCCAAGGAGCTTCTGCTGAGAGGAGAGGCTCCTTGCTGCGTTTCTCTCTCTCTCTCTCTCTCTCTCTCTCTCTCTGTGTGTGTGTGTGTGTGTGTGTGTGTGTGCTCATATTCATATGGAGGCCGGACAGCCTTGTGTGTTGTTCCTCAGGTGCCATTCACTTGCCCCCTGCCCTTTTTTTTTTTTTTTTTTCCACATAGGGTCTCTCACTGGCTTGGGATCAGCAAGCCCCAGGGACCCACCTATTTCTGTTTTCCCAGCAGTGGAATTATAAGTCTGCACTTCCACAGCTGTCTTTTAAAATGCAGCTTTGGGGATCAATCTGATATCCTCTCTTTGACAACTGTGCTAACTCCCTGGCCCTACGCAGACAAGAGTTAAAGTGGTTCTTGTGGATACCATTCTTTGTATCCCAAGGAACACAAATTACTAAAGAAATGATGTCTCTGTTGGACAGTGATGATCAAAGGGAATAATGTAACCAGTGTTATTACCGTTAGCTCTTAGGACTTTACAAATCACAGGGAGTTTTTTGAAAGCACAGGTTTACAGGAGAACCCGTTATGAAGAACACAGTTCTGTGGGCAAAAAGCACTTTGCTATTCCTGTTGCCAAAGTGATCACCCGTACGAGGGATGATGGACAAGCACTTGTGGTAATTGAGTGAACAGGGTTGATGCTTGGATTTAAATGGTGGCTTAAGGAAGTAGATCAAAACGTGTTTCATTCTTTCCTTTTTCTGGTTCTCTCACATTTTCCAGTCCTCAGGCCTCCTTTCTGCAAGGTTGTCTAGCTCTGTCTATGTTTGCCAGAAAGCTGTCTTCTGTTCTGTTTCCCTCTGCAAACATTCTCTTACCTGGTTCCTTTCTTTTATATGGAAATGTGGTTTTCAAATGAGGCTGCTTCCCAAGTCCCCGGAGGGATGGTTAGATTGTTTGCTAACCCTGGCCCTAAAGTTTCTGACTCCAAATGAAAATGTCTATTACAGTTCTAACAAGCTCCAGGTGATGTTGACACACTGGTCCAGGGACCACCCTTTGAGAACCACCATAGCATACTATGTAGTCATCTTCCTCCTCCATGCTCTCACATCTTCATGAAACATGAAGTGATGATGGCAGACAGATGGGCAACAACTCCCTACACTGAAGGCATTGTAATAAATATATAAATGTTATGAGCAAAAGTAGACATGGATATAGGCAAGAATTAGAAGGGCAAAGGCTGACCTTAGAGAGCAAGTTCGGTTGCTTAGATAGCTGATATGAAACATTCTAAGTTTCTGTTCAACCCTTTTGATAAAGAAATGGCTCCCAAAATATCCCAATAGCTATTTTTATCAGCAGCTGCCTCATGGCACAATTGTAACTATACATATTCCCTTGCAATTCAACTTGGATACATGTCTCCATAGTCTGTGAGGCATGTGCTGATAGCCATTGATGTGAAAATGATGGTTTCTCTCTGTAAGAATCCATAATTCATTCACACTTGATGGGCAGGAGCGAATGACTGTGATGAGGTCATTACCCAGTGGTGGTTCTCAAAGGGTGGCCACTGGACCAATATCAGTATCAGCACCACTCAGGCTTTTTACAAATACAACAAGCATTCATGCAGAAATTTGGGGGGGGGGGGCAAGGCATCAGCAAGCTGTTTTAACCATCCTTCTAGGTGATTCTGAGATGGAATCACATTGTTGTATAAAAGAAAGGAATCACAGTAGGACACTTGTGTTGGGGAGTTGTCTAGGAAACAGAGGCTGGGATTCTGCCAAATGTAGACAGAGGAAGAGGCCTTGTAGAAAAGGTGATGGGGAAAGAATAAAAACACAGGATAAAATAGAGGATGATAGTATGTGAAGCCTGTTACCGTGGAGAGAAGGATGCCAAGGGATGAAGACCAACTGGGCAGGAGGAAGAAGAGGAGAGCAGTAGGAGAGCAAACTCTCCAGAATGGAGGGGAGCGGCCAAGGCAAGACTGAGGGGGCTGAGGACCTAAGAGCAAGCCGTCTGGGAAGGGTACTCTTCGGAAGTTTGCTGTAGTGGAAACCAGCAGTTGCAAAGGAAGGGGAGGGAAGGGAAGGGTATTTTGGAAGGACACCAGCAAGACCACACTGTGGAAAGGGACCGGTGCTCTTCAAAGAGAGGAATTGAACACAGTGATGCAAAGAAATCAGAGGCATGTATATGCTGAAATAAAAGGACAAGGGAGAACATTACTGCCATTCAATAAACCTTGGTTGAGAAACCAAGGACCATGCTTGTGGTGTGCTGTCCTCAGCATGCTTAATGAGAGTTTGCAATCCAGTGAGAGAAAAGAAAGAATAAACATAAATACTCTGGAAATTAAAGTGAAGGGAATGGGAGAGCTGGGGGCTTGTCTACATAGGATGGGGCAGCTCCTTCAGAAGACCAATTCTAAGCAGAGATGGGTGAGAGAGAAGGGGCGAACAGTGGAGACAAAGAAGAGCCATTCTAGAGGGAGCAGAAAGTGCAAAGGCCTTTCTGTGGAAGTTGGTTTGAGTGCTCATGAATCCCAGGGCTGTACTGAGCAATGGGAAGAGCCTGAGAAATGTGAGGAAGAAGTCTTGAAAGCCTGTGGGCCACTGGCCCTCATACCAAGTGAGTGGGAAGCTGATGGAGTTGGGGAGTGGCATGCTATGAGTTATACTTTCTCTTTTTTAACTAGTGTTTCTCTCATATAAATGATATTTAAAAATGTCCGCAGGAGCATAGGATAGATTTATTAGAGGCTGGAAGGGTTGAGGAAGAAGGGATGAGAAAGGATGGATAGCAGTTACCCAGTCACAGAGAGAATAAATTCTAGTGTTCTAAAGAACAGTGGGATTGCAGTCCATAATGCCCTATTATTTATTTTATGAGTAATTAGAAAACAGGAGTTCAAAGGCTCCAAATGTAAAAAAAATGTTAAAGAGGTAGAAATGCTAACCACCCCATTTTTCTCAGCATATTGTATGCATATATTGAAATGTTACTTACTCTGTATCCCGTAAATATATAATTATTATATACTATTCAGAGCTTTTAAGATGTACAAAGAAATAGAAATACTAACAGTCCCGATCTGACCATCTCTCACACTGCATGCCTATGTTAAATCATTATACTGTATCCTCTAAATTTTTGCAGTTTAAATAAATGCTAAAAAGGATGATTTGGGTTTCTGTACAGAGGACAAACCATAAAAAAGCCCAGATAGAAGTGGGCAGAATATTCAGGAAGTTATTCCAACTATCCTGAGGGATGGAGTTTGAGCGGTGACCAGAATGTAGAAATATTTTTAAACAAGTGCTGCAGGATGCAGGGTGGCTACTCCTTATGGAAGAGTAAAGTCTTAGAAAAGGGGAGAATTCCAAGGCAGGTAAAAACTACTGAAAATATTTGAGAAGGAAGAGAAGAAAGCAGGTAAATTAAAAATCATAGTGCTTTTGCTAAGTTCTTATTGTACATCACCACCATGCAATATCCACTGTCTACACTGTATCACTCAGTCCTTCTACCACCTTAATTTTCAGTGGAGGAACTGAATTAAGAGAGGGGGTAAGTTGGGGTGGGGGGGGCAATGGGCCACATGTGATCTGGCTGCAGAGGATACCTCTTAATTTTTGGTACAACTCAACCTCCATGTTCTTTCTGTGAGAAGTGGAAGATTGCCCACAGTTGGGGAAAGAGGGTTTGGGGATGAATAGTCAAGACTGGGAATTGAAAAAGACTGTCTGAATAACCGAGAAGAAACAAGCTCATTGAAGAACTAAATAAAACAAGGCAGCAGATGACATTGTTTTCTGGAGGGAAGCTGCTGGTGTGGTTTGGGACTCAGGCCCTTGGGACTGCTTGTTTGACATCTAGATTAAGGCAGTGGCAGAACTGTAATCTTTCCAGAGTTCTCCAAAAGGGACCCGCCTCACTGAAAGGTCTCTTCAGGTACCACACGGGTGTGGACCAGATTCTGGCTCCTAGTCCTCTGGGATAAACATCTCCACAATCTTATTTAGCATAAACACTGACCTGAAATCCAGAAGGCTGGCAAGATGGAAGTTGAGTCATGACGTATTTATTAAGCTGAGCACCAAGTTTGACACTTAGAGGAACACAAAATTAATTCAAGACACATTTCTTGCCCTTAAGGGGCTTACAGCATTGGTTTAGCTGGGAGACCACCCAACAACCATTAGGATGGAGAAATCAAATCTCCACATTAGGCTCAGTGTACTGCACAGAGTGACAGGCTAGGAGATTAAACGGGCCTTGGTGCATATGGAATGCACACCCGGCCTGCAGACCCTCAGCCTGTGTGCATTAACTCTACCAGCAGCCTGGTTGCAGAGTGAAGGTGGCTGTTTGTGCATAAACATTGTCATTTCACTGGGACTGCTATTTCATCTTTGAACCTTGGCATCAAAGGAACACTGACCTTATTGCTGTAGCTTGCCTCTCTTTGAAGCGTATGGCTTTGCATTGCAGATTAAAGTGAAGACATTCATCAAGGAACAGATCTGGCCAACCGCTCCCCAAACTTGCCCATAACAAAGCCTTGAAAGGCTCCAGTCACGGTTGCAGTAGGTTGGGGAAGGCTTGGAGCCAGGCTCTCCTTTTTCAGATCCTGTGGGGCAGATCTAGCATGATGCATCTTTTGGAGTTTTGGGTAACTTTATTCTCAGTATATCTTCGTAGAGAAGGCCAAGCTAATGCTGTAGTCTCACCTATCCTATTCATTTGAGCAGGCATTGTTATAAATGAGGTCAATGTGATCATTCCCAGATAATCTTTGAATCCTTCAAAAGATGTGCCAGGCAAAGTTACCTGAAACTTGGTTGATGATTCTCTAAAAGGGAACCATGTTCCTTGGTTCATTTATTTAAAAAAAAAAAAAAAAAAAAAAAAAGCAAAGCAAAACAGCAAAAACTCACACAAAACAAAACCAAATCTCAAAAACTGTCTTAGTTTTCCTCCTATGTCTATTTTGACACACAGCATTCTGTTTTCTTTTAATTCATAAGATGTCAAGAGACATGAGATTAAAGTATTTTAATTGTGATATTAAGAATATAAGGACCTGTTAATGTGGAAGGGGGAGAATTTCACAATGTCCCATCCCTAGAAAAAGAACTATAGGTAACTAATGGCTATTGGGAGGAGGAAATTGGCCTCACATGGATGGACCCCCCTTACTGGTTGTCAAAGGATACTTAAAACAAAACAAAACCAAGCACACAAAACAATATCACTACCACCAATGAAAGAAATAGGCCTTAGCTTTGTTAAGGTGACAAGGTGTTTTAGAGTTTGTTATGGCAGCCTAACCTTGCTTATCCTGACTAGTCCAAGACCTGGGAGAACATCCAGTCCTACTTCATTTCTTTCCTAAGATGTTTTCTACAGAATCAGTGAATTTTCACATACTTCTTGACTGCCCCAGGAACAATAGCAAACAACAGCAAGCAATTATATAAAATTCATGATTGTTTCCAGACATGCCCGAGTATTTTATATGGATTAACTTACCTCACTGTCATAAAACATCAAGCATAAATGTTATTGCACTCATTTCACAGCTGGAAGAAGTGAAGCAAAGCAAAGCTAAATCACCTGCCCAGGGTCGGATGCGCCATTCCCTTGCAGGATGTCACGTGATGACAAGTAGCAGCAGAGGAATCAGATCCCAGCAGCTACCTCCTGTTTGCATCATCAGGACTCCCCAGACTGGGTTCTTAGCCTTGCAACACAATTCAGTCAAAAAATACAAAAGGCAATCCTAAAAAGACCCCAGTAGTCCACCGGCCACTTTATTTTATATGCTAGAAAAGGAACCATCTTGTGGGTCATTTTCCATCTTTAGTGACAAGACAAACTCCATGTTACAGTTTTTTCAATATTCTGGCAAGCAGGAAGACTCACTGGAAGGGCCTCAGTGGCTGGCAGTGTGGAAGTGAGTGGAGGCCCCACTGCAACTGATCAGTTTCATGCTTATCTGATTTATATAAGGGATATAGGTTGGTCCTGATCAGAAATGCTTAGGGCCAAATGGGCTTTGGATTTTAGATTTTTTTTTTTTGGAAAATATTTGCATATATGTTGTGAGCCATCTAGAGGATGGCCCCAAGTCTAACCACAAAATTTATTGATATTTCATATATATGTTATCTGTGGGATTTTTTTTAAATAGATTTTTTTTTTTCTGAAATTATTCTGTAGCCCAGGTTGGCTTCAAACCCATAGTCCTCCTGTCACATGAGTGCTGAGATCACGGGCACATGTGGCTATGCCTTGCACCCTCAGATTATTTTATAAAATATTTTTAGTGTACCTGCATTTTGATAGTCCTAAAATATGAGGGTAAGTGTGGAATGTTCCACTCAGAGCCTCATGTCAGTGCTCAAAAAGTTTCAGATTGCGGAACATTCCAGTTTCAGATGGGGGTGGATGCTCAGCTTGAAGTGGGATTTCTTTTTGGTAAAACACTTATGTAAGTTTTCTTGCTTAATATTATTAATGATAGATATCCTCATACATTCTATTAAGTGGATCTAGAAGGTTGCAGTAAACAATACAGGGCTTTTCGCCAGATGGGAGGCAGGGTGAAGTACAAGGATTGTGTAGCTCCGTGGCCAATTTTAAGTCAGTCTAATTTGCTGTTTCTCACTTGTACTCACTAGCTCCCTGGCAGGAAGAACTATTTTATTATCATTAACATGTAGTAGAATCCTTAGAGACTAGTTCTGAAAGATGGAATGAGAATCCTCTGACACAATTCAATGACACAATTCTCCAAAGAGCAGGTTAAGGTCATTTGGGCTAAGCAAAGTAGCACATGTTAGCTGAAATGACATAGTGACACATGAATGACTGGGCTGATATTGTGAGTTTACAGGTCCTCAAGTGACCAGTGGTGATTTTCCCTTGCCCAACTTCTGGCAATAAGACATATAAAATAATATACTAATGATATTCATCTCAGGGAATCACAAGGGACAGCAAGCAAGCACAGGCAAAACACATACACACACACACATGCACAAAAAAGCACACACACATACATTCACACACAAACATACATATATACACAGAAACATTGCTTACTTCATTTTAACCACTGATAACGTAAAAATGATCCAAATTTTATGACCATATTAACATATTGCTGAAGACTGTCTGTAATGTGATTTAATGGAGTTTGTAGTGTGTGTGTGTGTGTGATGATAGTAGTTCTAGTATGCTCATCACTTGACTAAAAAACTGAGATTCATGAGCCAAAAGTGTGTACTTGAGAAGGTGGGAGATTGGCAGGTAGAAGCCTGAGAGAGTTCTCAGGAGCTGAGTTCTTGGGAGCTGAGTTCTTGGTCGACTCCTTACCTCCAAGGTTCCCATCTTCTCCCATAATAAGTTTCAAGGATCTGATGATTTGCGCTGCTATTACGGGACTCATGGATGTCGCATAAGTGGCACTATGTGAGTGAATCCGTACATAATCCACAATTTCCTAAAAACAAAGGAAGAACCCAAAATGGAAGCAGATAATTCTCAGAACTTGTCCTCTGTACATTACAGCAAAGCATTTGCTCAGGTCCTCAAAAGACAACAGTGGTCTGTCTTACCCTCAACTACTTTGTGTAACATTCAGCTACTTATTTTGCTTTCTCTTTTTTCTTGGTCTTTCCTCTCAAAATCTAGAAACTGTACAAAAGTGTGAGGGAGCTACAAATTTAGAGCTGGGCTATAAAGCAAAAACCGGGCATGTGAAGGAAAAATTATTTCTGAAGTATCTGCCTTGCACAAGAGCAAATGCTCAGGAGTAGCCAATGATACAAAATCTGGTTCTTTTGTTCCTTGAGAATATTAGCAATTGTGCCATGAAAACTAACAGTACATTCAGAAAAAACGCATGTAATAGACTGTAAGATGCAGAGGAAAGAGAGGGTGCTGCTAAGAGGAGCTGTCTGGGGATGTTCCAGTGAGGAGACAGGGTCTATGAAGCTTTGATGCATGAAGACAGAAGAAGAAGAAATGAAAACCTGAAAGGAGAGAAAATGTCCTAGAGACAGAGACAATAGGCAGCAGAAAACGAATGCCATTCTTCCCTCCTGGCCCCCACCAACATTGTGCTCTTCACTTTTCTGGTCTTTTCTTCAAGCAGTCAATGAACCTGGCCACCTTGTGCCTACTTCGAGAAGAGCTACCGTGCTGGTTCTGAGCTCACCTCGAAAGCCTTGGCCACTTTGGTTCAGCACTGCAAATGGTTCCTTTCATTTCTTCCTCTACTTCTAGATTCTTTCTTTACCTTTCATTCTATTCTAGTTCCCCCTTAAAAATCTTCAAATTGTTCATTTTAATTATTTCTCTTTTTATTTATAAGTATTTACCTCTTCCCTTCTATCCCTCCTTTTTATTTTTCTTCTCTCTTCCCTTCTTCCCTTCTATTTTTCCTTCCAGCAGGTATATTAAAGACCTGTGTTGGGCTACGTCCTCGGTTCATGTGTGAGGCTAGGTGGCAGGAGGACTGAGGACATAGTCTAGTTTGACATCTTTGACTGTTCTTTTTCTTTCTTTCTGAACCATATAAAGGCAGTCAGGAGTAGATTCCCTTCTCTTGAAGAGTGTAGATGACATGGCAGGTCTTGAAGCATCAGCTATGTGATATTTAAGGAAGTTTGCTCTGGATGATCTGGAGCCTCTCAAAGAGAGATCTTTGTTGATTTCCCAATAATTAAAGATGAAGTGTCCTTCAGAGATTGTGTTCTGCCCTTTGGTAAATGGTAGTATGGATTTTCATTCTCTGTTGAGATTAAATACTTTCCCACAGGCTGCTAGGGGAGGCAAAGAGGGGACAGTCAATGAGTCATAGGTATTGGACAATGGAGGCTTATAGGTTCCTGTGTCTATGGAGGAGTGTTTCAAGGGGTGATCTGACCACAGCAGATGAGTGGATTTGGAGGAATGCAGATGAGGTTAAAAAGCACATATATCGGCTTGCTAAAATGAATATTGAGGGTGGAATGTATGAGTAAAGATTGGAGGAGTCAGTTGGGAGTGGCTTTGAAGCAAGGTGATCAGGAGTTGTTTCCTTGAGGGATAGTATGTCCCAGAATTGAAACATAAGTTCTGGAACTTAATTGCTCAGTCCAAATCTTGGCTTTGTTACTGACTGCTATGTGACTATGCACAAAATAACTAAGCTTGCTATCTCAGTTTTCTTCTTTGCAAAGTGAGATAACAGTGATACACATCTTACTTACCTGAGAGTCATTATGAGGATATATATATTATTCATATATATATATATATGAGTGAATATATGTATTTCTTAGAAAAAAGGTACATTATGGTAGCTAAAGCAGTTAATGGCAGTTGTTGGATTGTTAATTTAAGGATTTGTAGAACAGGAAGCATTTGAGGGGTGGAGGCAGGGACCAAAACACAAAACTTCTTGGGATTTTGTAATTTCAGTTTGCTTATTCGCAAAGGGAATGATCTAAGGTTAAATTGCCTGCATATGAGTAGCTGCAAGGAATCAACCAATGAAATGCAGCTTGTTTCTTCCTCCATCCCAAGAGGGGTAGTGGCAGGAGTGAAACCAAATCAAACCCAACCAAACCTAACTTAACTGCTACCAACTACAACAATAAAACAGACAGACCTTGAAGAAAGGAGAACATGAACTTGATGAGCTATTGAATGGCTCAGAGGAGAAGCTGAGGCCAGAAGCTGACACCATAGCCAACATTCACAGGACACTTTCAAGTCCATTTTAAGAACTTCATATGTGTTAATTCACTTACAACAATTCTGAGGTAGGCAATGCTTTTTAATCCCAGTTTTATATGTAGGATAATGGAATGAGTCACAGACATCCTGAAAATTCTTTACAAATGATGGTAAGGTAAGGATTTGGACCCAGTGACTCTGGTTCAGGAGTTTCCACCTTTAACACCATGCTGATCACTTCTTCAAAACGAGTGCAGAGTAGCCTCAGTATGAGATGAAGTGAGTCTCGGAAGCACAGGGTCCGGCTCTCCTGTTTACCCTGTGGTACTTCCCTGTTCTACAGACTTTGCTCTTTTGGGGTTTTTGTGTATAATATTCTTATTTTGTCAAAGGGAGTGTGTCCCAGGAGAGAAAGTAATGAAGGGTACCCTTTTCTCCAAGTCCACTGTAGGGACTTAGCAGAGAGCCTGCACATAGTGACAGTTGACCGGAAAGCCAAGGAGCTTCAGCGACAGGAAGGATGGCCAGTCCCTTGATGCACTAAGGATGAGCAAGTTGTATTCTTAGGAACAAGTGGAGCAACATCTCAGCTAGGAAGTATTCACCACAAAGATCAGACAAGGAAACAAAGCAAAGCTTCTTTTGATCAAAATGTCCCTACCTCCAATTTCCGTTCATAAATTGAGGAATTTCATGCAGTCAGTTGCAAGTATCCTTAGTTTGAGTAATAGAGCATCAGTGAGAAATCACCCCCTTGAACCTGAAGACTGTCTGTCCTACAGTATAATTCCTTTGGACTGAGCCCATTTTGTCCTAGTCCGGGGAAAGGGTATTTTGCTTGCGTGGTTGAAGAAGTAGAGTTCTGTAGTAACTTCTGGAGAGTGTCAAGGAAAGCCCACTGATTCCATCCCTTCATTCCCTGACTGGGTACTACAAGGCATGAATTAAGAGTTGACTTTGGTCCTTTGCAAGTCGAGTCTGCACTGTGTCTTTCTTTGGGAGCGGGTTAGAGGTCCTCTCAGACACAGAGTTCCAAGCCCTTTTTTCTTTTCAAGTTCAAAACCCTGATTATTTTCTTTACCCATAGGCCTGGAGTTCAAGGGCAAGGGTGGGTTTTGGGGAGGAAATCAGACAGGAGGCTTTTAGAATAAACATCTTGGTACTCATTCCATGACCCCTATTTACTTCAAAGGGCTATTATACACAGGCAGGGCTGAAAATACCAGCACAGAACTGCTTCTGCAAGGGACCTGCCTTTGCTTGCTTTTCAGGCCACTGGAGCTAACTATCACCCCAAACCTAGCCTCTGTCTCCCACTTCCCTCCTCTAGAATTACAACCCTGCAGTCTATCAGTCACAAGGACTATCTCTGCTTCACTTATTTGCCAGTCATCATCCTGAGGAGGCTGGGAGAAGCTACTGGGCAACAGCAGAGATACAAGAAGATGCAGGATCATGCTCAGGAGAACAGAGGGTGGGTGAGCAGTGTTGAGCACATTCCCCCAGCAGTTAGAGAGATAAAAATTACAAGTTGAAAAGTGAAGTGATGCTCTAGATTGTTCACCTGGAGCATCATGGGAGGATGTCCTCCTGAGTGAAGTGTTCGCTGTCAACAGAGCTCCCAACCCAAAGAGCAGAAGGGAAAACCTCATAGGTTTTTGAGAAACTGCTTCATCTTGGAATTACCCCTGATTCCAGATGAATTGGTAGTACACTTAAGAAAGAAAACTGAGACCTCAATAACACCTCTGCTTTCCGTGAGATCTTAGCACCAAGAGAATTTTTTTTTTCCTTCCCTCACTTGTTTCCAAGTATTTTCCACTTGCACGATTCTTCTGGTTGCTAATGGGCAAAACTCAGCTCTTGATCCTCTCCACAAAGATTCCTAGAACATCTTCATTGCAGTTATTAAGAATATTGTCTGTGGGAGTCAGGGGAAGGAACGGGAGGAGAGGAGGGAGGGGAAACTGTGGTCGGTATGTAAAATAAATGAAAAAATGTTAATTAAGTAAAATAAAAAAAAAAGAGTTGCCACAGTCTCTTCACAGCAATAAGAATCCTCACTAAGACAAACAAACAAACAAAAAAAGTCTTTCGCCAGCCAACCAGAGAGCTTGCATGGGACTGACCGAGGTCCTCTTCAAGTATGTTACAGTTGTGTAGCTTGGTCTTATCCTAGGACTTCTAACAGTGGGATCAGGGGCTGTCTCTGACTCTGTTATCTGCTTTTGGAACCCTTCCCTCGTACTAGGAGAGGAGGTGCCTAGTCTTACTGCAATTTGATATGCCATAGCTGGCTGATATATATGGGGGGGGGTGCCCTTTACTGAAGAGACATGAGGAGGATTTGAGGTAGGGGAGGAGAGAGGAGGTTGTGGGGAGGGACTGGGAAGAGAGGAGGGAGGGAGGGGAAACTGTGATTTGGCTGGAAAATAACTAACTAACTAACTAAATGATAAAAAAAAAATATTGTCTGCACACCAAGATTAACAAGAGATTTCAGATCCAAGTATTTTTATCTTTTTCTAGAGTTTTGAACCCATTTGATTATTTTCGAGGTTTGTGGCCTCCATTCTCTTGCTCAATCTCCATGTACTGAATTCTGTCTGTGTCTTCAAGGTTTTGTATCTTGGTGTTTTACAGCCATGTTTGCTTAATGAACCTTGTCATACACACTCTAATTCATGATGCCACCTGGTGGTTAATTGAGATACTGCAGGAAAACATGTGTTAGGAGAAGGAAAAAAAGAATGTAGGAGTGATTCATGTAATAATGATAGTTTTCACAATTGCTCCATCTCTACCCTACAGGATTAGAAGTCATGTAGACACGAGTATTCCTCTTTTGAAATCCTGCACCTGCCTTCAGAACAGAAAACATGTGACAGGATCCCAGGGAACCGTCCCTCCTGCTGCTAGTCCTGAGCCTTTGTTTAAAAGAGGTATCAAATGAAGGCACTCCAAGGAGAAAAATGTGACATCCAACAAATCTGACAACATTTCAAGGATCTGCTTGCTTCAGTTTATTCAGGTGCCTTTGGTTCAGGAAACAGAGTTACGCTTGGTTAAAAGTTTTGTGGCTCAGAACTGCTGCTAAAGCAATCAAGGCCTCACAAGGCAAGGTAACCCGGAATAGACAGCTCCTCACCCCGAGACCCTCTGGTCCCACTGAAGTGACAGTTAGGAAGGAAATATCAACCTTTCACTAGAAGTCTTTGAGGATCTGGCATTCCCTCTGTTTCTAGCATTACCTAGCTCATCCCCGTAGGGCACCGGAGGGAGGATGAAATACAATGCTTTGAGTATAGAAGAAAGCAGCAGTTAAAGGAGGGCAAATACCACTTCAAACAGGATTTTAGGCATCTGTATGTCTCATGGTGAGTGGCTAAGATGAAATATGTTGTTTTAAACCACTGGCTTTTAGTGATAGTAGCTGTCTGCTACATACCCCAATTGGTCTAACTGGTTGACCAGTAGGCTGAACTTTTGTTCCTGCTGGTCAGAGTGGACAAGGAACTGGAAATTTTAGATATTCCCCACCCCACCCCCCACCGCCGAATTTTCAACATGAGGTTTCTCTGTGTAGCCTTGGCTGTTCTGAAACTCACTCTGTAGACCAGGCTGGCCTTAAACTCATGGAGATCTGCCTGCTTCTGCCTCCTGAGTGAATGCTGGGATTAAAGGCTCGTGCCACCACTGCCTGGCTTAGATAACCTTTTAGTAGCACCTCCATGCATTAATTTGGGGCCTACAATGCCCTGCTAGTTGGAGCTATAAAAAGTCTCTTTGGGACAAGTGTAGGCTTGTATGAGATAACTGCCATGATTTGGAAAAGGCACATGCAAAGGGACATGGCACAGCCTCTTTGTCCCTTAGATCTATATCTGAATATTTGATTGTCTTTTTCCCTTCTCCTTAAAAATTTCTTCCAAATACTTATTATTTTATTTTTCATTAACAAATAAGTAATAATATAAGAACAAGACAATGGGGGCAGTCATCATTTAACATTATAATGTCATCTGATCCAAATCTTCAGACATTTTGAGATTGTAGAAGATGGGTTATCTAACATTATAGAAAATAGTTATTTCTCAGAAAAATAATCTTAAAAATCCATTTTTACTCTGTTGTTGTTTAGGTGACAACTTGTAAAATCCACAAGGCCAACTTCTTTAATACATGAACTTTTCCAATTGTTGCTATTACTTACTTTATTTTCAACACACACACACACACACACACACACACACACACACACACCTCCTAATTCTTTAAGTTTTGAATTAAAAAATTGTGTGCAGATCTTGCCTGCATGTATGTCTGTGTACCATATTTGTACAGTGCCAGCTGAGGCTTCAGATCCTTGGGGCTGGAGTTACAGATGGTGGTGTGCCACCATGGGGTGCCAAGAATTGAACCCAGAAGAGCAACCAGTAGTCTTAACTACTTAGATACTTCTACACCCCATCCCTTGTAGTTCTTATAGGATCCCTTATTACTTCTGTGGGTTGGTGTATGCTATTGTCTCTTTGTCTACAAGACTGACTGATGATCACTCTACAAGACGTCCCAGAGTCCAGCAGAGTTAACTCTCTCCAAGGTACTCTGCATATTGTGCCCTTGCTATTGTTATTTTGTTGTGATGTGATTATTCTTTCCACACTTCTCTTTACAACATGTTACAGGTGAGCTGAACCGAAATTTACATGAAATTCAGAGAATTTCCTGCTTCCCTAGGGTGTTCAGGATCTACACAAACACTGGGAGTTCCTTTCTTACCTTTTTCCCTGCTATATAGCCTCCCGAGGCTGCAAAGCTTTTGGTGAATGTGCCCATGTATACGTCCACATCTTCAGGGGCCAGTCCAAAGAACTCTCTGATACCTTTGCCACTGGAGCCCGTAGCACCAATACTGTGAGCTTCATCCATGTAGAGATAAGCCTTGTATTTCTTCTTTAGAGCCACTATCTGGGGCAGATTCACAATGGAACCTTCCATGCTAGCACAGAAGGAAAAATTCTTGGTAAGTAGTGAATAACCTTCTGGAAAGATCTGTTAGTTTCCTTCTAGTGCTTCACAGAAAGCCTGCCCTGCCACTGTCAGCCTGCTGACAAGGAGGATCTGTCACTCTTCTGTCGGCATATTTTATTCAGCAATGACAACCTTTCAGTCTTGTAAGGCTTCTCTGCATGTCCATGCTACTTTAATAAAATACTTTATATTTGATGGATTGAGTGGGTTGGGTTATTATTTTTAGTTCTCAACTCAAAAATAAACTTACCATATTATGGACATAATTTGTTTGGAAAGCTGATTATTGCAGTTTGATCAATGCTTTTGGGATAGGTAAAAGTGCTCCACTCTGAGCCACTTTGATCTACCTGCTATTTTTTTTGTTTGATCCTGCCCACCGGATCTAAATTTAGCATCTGAACTGCTAAAGATTAAACTGGGGAAATTAAGAATACACAGAACTTCAGACATCATTGTATTAATTATCACACAATAAAATATCCCTTAGTATCCCTGCTCAGCACTCATCACAAATCAGACTTTTGTGAGGCTCCTGGTTGAGCCCTTTCTTCATAGTAATGGAACAGAAATGGATCCAGCCTTAAAACTCCTGACAAGGTTAAGGCACAGGATTCTGGGTTCCTCCCACAGAGGTTCCAGAGGTGAGGGGGGAAGGGCTGGTTGACTATACATACAAGCTTCCAGGATAAGCTCACACCAGTAGTTAAGGACACCACTTTGGGATTTACCCCTACTAACCAATCCTTTTGCTTTAGATGTAGTTTATTATTTATTTTAGTTTTCTAAGTTTTAGATTTCAGTTTTTTTTAAAAAAAAGCTTTTAAAGTGATAGAACTTTTAAATAATAGCTTTAGATTTGTAGAACAACTGAGCAAAAGGTACCGAGGATTCTTGAATCCCTAGTCTTACCAAATTTCTCCTGACATTTATGTCACCCACTAGTGTGGGCCATTTATTATACTTTGATGAGCCAATTTTGATACATTAACTGAAATCCCCAGTTTAAGGTTTATTCTTTGTGATATATATTCTATGTGTTTCCCAAAAGAATATGAATTACTTCACAGATTGACATGTCATGCTTGCCCAGGATCATGCCAATCTCTGTTGTCCCAATTTTAGTGTGTATAGTGATAAGAGAGTATCTAGGTGTTTTATTTTCCATGGTAGTGCAAACTGTAATATGTTTCAAGTCCTTAGAGAAGGGTAAATATAAAGCCAACTAGGAAGTAAAATTAAATTTTATATTTACATGGCACCTCTGGATCTCAATGGGTTTTAAAGAACACTGGCTCTACTTAGTTCTCAGAATACTGAAAGCTTTTGCACTGCACAGCTTGGACTGTACAGATAGTCTGGCTCTAAGAAAACAGACTCCAATGTTCACAACACAATGCAGCTTGTCAAACAACTCAAGCAACCCTTCGATTTAGTTACAGACTGATCATTTGAAGAGTGGTGAACTTCTCCATCCTCCCTTGTTAGGTATAAGATTGTATATAATACATTAAAAAATAAGCTTAAGTGTTAGGTTGATTCAGTCAAAACAGTCCATTTGAGTGTCACAGCTATCCAGACCAAAGGAGCTGAATTTAACCATCAATGATACAGCGTGTGGGTATTTCACAAGGTCATTTGGATGGCCAAGTTCTGATTTTAATGGAAGACCAAATGGTCCTCTCTTATGCATGTTTGTGAGTTACTTCCAACACTATTTTAAATTTCTTGCTTATTAAAATTGTCTCCACTGAGGAGGAGGCAATATCATTCTCTGCCTCCCTTGGGCTTAGATTGTGGCCACAACATTTTCTAAACTGGGTCTTGGGCAGCCTGTATGATGTTCATTATCCTGTGCTTCATTCTTACGTATTATAAGCACAATGATGAAGCCTTCTTCACAGGATCTTTATAATAGCTAGCACTCATGCTTGTCAACTGTCAGACCATCCCAGGTACTCAGTGAGCTTAGAAGGGGAAAGTTTCACTGAGTCCTAACGAGAAAACAGGGACCTTTAACAAAGTTCTGTGTTGAATCTTCTAAAATGAAGGCATGTGGAGTCAAACATGATAAATGGCTTCAAACCCTCAAAATTCTTAGATTTTTTCTTGTCTTTAAAGTGCTGTAAGTTGGCAACACAAATATGCTAGAAACCTGACATGACACAAATAGCCATTCCTTTTTTCTGGAACTGAATTTGGCAGGAGGCAAAGTTAACATTGAACAGTGTTTGTAGACAGTCTCCACAGCTAATTAGCCATCTTTCCATGGGCTGCTCTAGCTGATGTAAGGACCTGACCACCTGGTTTGTATTTCTTCCTCCAAGATTAATGACTCTGCAGTACTGCTGAGTTTTGGAGTTAATGCCAGGCACACATAGAGTCCTAATGGGAACTCAGCTTTTGTATAGTTATATTCAGCCACACTGTTTTCATTTTTTCAGTATTATTGAATTTGCATAAAACCTTTTGCTATAGAGGGATAATGCATCTGGGTGAAAGTATAAAGTAGTTATTTTGTGTTATCATCACTAGTTTCTGTCAAAACAATCAAGACCAAAAGCAATAAAGAAAAACACATAGCATGTTGTTATTTTTTCCTGGATGAAAGGCTTTGCTTTTCTTTTGACTTTACTAGGAGAAAAAGAAATAAAATACTGCTATAAATAAAGATAATGTCATCAGTTAATCTGAGGCTCTGTCTAGGGGACTTGAATTATTCTTTAACCCACACGTCAGTAAATTACTATTTTGTTTTTTTATTGCATTAGCTGAAGTGATCAGACTTGTTTTTGAAATCATCCTCTCATCATCCTCTTTTCCACATGGAAACCAAAAATTAAACCACACCTCAGGAAACTTGTATGGTGGAAAACTCTTCCAAGGTTTAACCAAAGAGAAGAGAAGAAGGTTGGGGGTGGAGAGAAAGAGGTTCGAAAAGGGAGGTGGGGGGGCGTGGAGATGTAGAGGAGACGAAAGGGATGGGGAAGAGACAGAGACTGGGATAGAGAGACAAAAAGGAGAATGAGGGAGGAGAGTGTTAGGACCAAACTCATCTTATTCTTTGTCTTTACATGTTGAAACTATAAAGGATTGGAGAAAGTTTACCACTGAAGTTATTCTTCAATCTTCACAGTTTGAGGGAGAAGGGCTCTTAGTCTATTCTTAGACTCAAGATATTCTGCCAATTCATCATATGCTTATGGGTCTGGTTTGGGAAAGGTTGGCTCATACTATTGGATTCTGAAAGTTTGGGCTCTAACTATGCTAGTTTGTGTTCCAAGTTACCTATGACATCTTTACTAGCAGCATGGTTTTGAATCATTTTGAGACTTCTTAACCTTTATGAATTGATAAGGAATCTATTCTCCTCAGATACTACAGAAATAATGCTGTGGTCCAAACAAATATTAGGGTTAAAATGATTTTTAGGGCTAAGACAACAAAGTTGGAGGAGTAAGAGAACTTTTAGCTGGGTATACAGCCCCCTTGACCAGATAAGAGGAAGAAAGACAGGGATCAGAGAAAAAAACAAACAAACAAAACAAAACAAACAAAACAGCGAGGATAGTCTTGGCAGCCCTGGCTAGTCAGCTCCAATAACATGAAGTTCTTATGTTCTCCTAGTAACCTGAACTTTATGGGTAGTTAGGTTTTTAAAAACATATTCTTGCATCTAATGTATCTAATTGTAATAGAGGTTAAGGATGGCTTCTAAGAAAAACTCCACTATTCCAGGAAGGAGACCATCCCAAACTGCCCCATGGATGGTAGACCATGACTTATGAGATGCTAGAGAGTCTTTTATTGTTACCTTTCAATTCAGCTCTGCCTTGAGCCAAGATGGTGCACTTCCCTTTTGCTTTCTCACTGGCTGAAAGAAACCTTGATTATTTACTTGTGCTATCTCTGTCCTGGTGTGAATTCTTCTCCTTTGGGAAGATCTTAGACTGCTGCCGCAGTTAGGGTTGAAGGGATATTCTCCAACCCACAGCAATATGTGTTTAACACAGTATTAGGACATCAGATTAGAACCTTAAAATAATAATATTTGACTTTAGACCCTAAGTTGTGGATTCACTGTATTTAGACTTGAATTTTCAACCTCCTTAATTTACAGATGGAGAAATTGAAGCCTAGATAGGATTACTTTAAGTCAGAATGACTTTGTACTTTTAGTGTTTATAAACTGGATGTCAACAGATAGGCTGCCTCTTCTATCTACATTGAGTCTTTGTCCTACCAGGACCACTTGATTTTCAATGCCAGCTGTGCTTCATTTTATTAATCTACCCTAGGGCAGTTTATTTAGGCCTCTGAGCCTCTGTTTCTTCATCCTTATAATCTCAACAGGTTTGTGCAATATTGTGCTCTTGGAATGTTTAGCAAGGAGTAAACATGTGGGCAATATGAGTCCTCCCTTTGCATCCATCCTTTTTTGTAAGAAGAGCAAACAATTTTACTACATAGACAGCTTACTGTTTTCCAACTTGAAACCTCTCTAACTGAAAATGTGAGATTATGAAGATAGTTACTCTTCATTGTGGGCTTTCTCTGGGTTTTGTCTCTGCCAGACACTGGCTTATATGATCTTAATACTTGCATACATGTTCTATGGAAGGTACACAACTCTGGGGACCAATGCCAGGATCTGAATCCAGGTCCCAGATCTGTCTCCAAATCCTGACTTCTCTATATTCTCTACAAAAAATAGGAATACCCATGGATATGGCAATAGTAATTATTATTGATTGTTACTAATTTTGTGAAGTAGTCTGGATTCTTAGTCTAGTCACCTACACATTTCTATTTTGAAGCCTCTTTCAAACTTAATGACTTGAAAGTTTAACTTTTCTCTTTAAGAATTATGAAAATATTGTTGTGGGTGAGCAAGGTGTGGTGGTGTACTTTACCCATGGGGCAGACAAGTAAGAGATAAACAACAACAGACAACCAACCCTAGGAGTTAAAATGTAGAAGAAGCTTTTGGTAGCTACCAACCAGGTATGCATCTGTAACACACTTCTTAGGAAGAGAAGTAGACTTAGAAACAATTGATCTCACATTCCCAACCCTGACACTTTGGAAAATCCTATGAAAAGCAAGTTCATTTTCTGGTGATAGTTCTACATTGGCGTGCTCAAATGAGAGCTTTCCAACTGGAATTTTGCTCAAGAATTCATGTCAGGCTAGTCTTGGTTTACAAAGGAAGACCTGAGGCTGCTGGTGGTATGGAGGCTGTTGAGGCTGCATAATTATCATGAAGAGAAGAGAAGAGGAAGCTTTTTGTGGCAGCATGTTTCTGACATAGAAACTTTGCCCAGTATACATGCTAGGTTGATTGATCTGCGATAGACTGATGCAAAAAGATAGATGCCTGCACGTTTTCCATGGCTTTGTACATAATCTAACTTTCCCATCGAGAGTTAAAGTGGAATTCTCCTTTCTTGGAATCCAGGCTAGCTCTGGTCAACAGGGCACAGCATTAATTCTCGGCCACTCTCTTAAAACAATGGAAAATTCTGGGTTTTCTGTCTTAAAAGCCAGGGGCCATGTTGTCAGGAAGCTCTGAATAGATGATCTGATGTTTTTGTGTCAACACCAAATAACACAATTCCCAGTTTTGGTGCCCATAAAATAAATGGATTCATGTGAATGAGAAAAAGGCACCCCAGTCACCTCCCAAAAGCCAGTGCTAAATGTGTGAATGAGGTAATTTTGGATATTCCATCCCTACTTGAATTCTTGACTGACTGCAGTCTTGTGAATGAGCTCAATGAATACTGTGTGTGGCAGTAGACCTGACTTACAGGACCAAGGAAAATAAGAAATGATCACTGTATAACTTTATTCTTTGGAGTGGTTTGTTACACGGCAATAGTTAACTGAGAGTTGCCATTGCTAAATTGTAGTTTAGTGCCTGGTTGGCTTAGGGTCAGAAGTCTACACCTGCATACCTCCCGCCCCCACCAACAGAATAGGGCAAAGCCTAGCCTAGTCCCTAATAAATCTGGCTGCTGTAGTGGTTTTTGATGCGAATATTTGTCCGGAAAACACTGATGGACCTCTAATTTCAGTCACTATCCAAGCGCTTAAAAATATAACCTTTCCTTTAGTGGAGACAAGTTCTGTTTGTTTGAGATTGTGTTCTTTTGACTCTGGTTAAAGGAGATGCCCAGTCTACCTTCCCTCAGCCAATTCATCGTACCATGACTCCAAGCCTGAATGACAGGTGTTTAGATAAGGGTTGCTTGTATCCCTTTCAGGCTGGCAGCTGCTACAAACCACACAGGGAGAAAGCTTGCTACTTAAAGTTATGACGGCATAGGCTCACTCAGTATGAAATTACTTCCTATAAGTTCAAGTTTCAGGACAATGAGTAGTCAACTATCCTATAGTAGGGCTTTCTCAGCTCTGGCACTATTGCCCTTTTGAACTACAGAATTCTTCTAAATGCTTTGTGCTTTGCAGGATGTTCAGGAGCATTCCCAGCCTCTCTCCACTAGATGTCAATAGTATTCTACTACATGTGTGACCACTAACATCTGACAAATGCTCTCTGGTTGGAGATGGGGGCAAAAATCACCCCAGCTTTCTAAACCACTGTTTTAGGGATTTTGTAAGCACTGCATATTCCTGGGATTGACGTTAGAAAATAATGATGTAGGTGTGGAAAGTGATGTACTATGAAGTGCCATCTTTGCAACTACAGAACTCTAATCAATGACAATTTAAAAAAATGACTCCAGTTTTTATACTATCTTTGACTTGGGATAATTCACCCCCTCTCCCTCCAAAAAAGGGGGTAGGGCACGTTTCTTTGTTACTCAGTGTTGACTTATGACTGACAGTGTTCACTTGTGATTGATAAAGATAATATCTTCATAATCTCGTTTGTTTTCAGTTGAAGAGGTTTCACATTAGAAAACAATACACTGTCTGTGTAGCAATGTTTGCTCTTTGTACAGAAGAGGAGGGCCTGCAGAGGGAGGGCTCACAGTGCTGTGTTGTTCTTATGAATCCTTTGCAGCCATACTCTTCCTTGGGGCTTATCCAGCCCTCACCTCCTCCCTTTATATTGCAGGTCTCTATCAGAAACTCACAAGGGATATAGCCCCAAGTTTCTCTTGCTGTAGGGATTGTTTTGGAATTGATTTAAGAAGGGGCACTCTGAGATAATGTTTCCTTGGCTTACAGAATAGGGTATAAGCAGAAGAAATGCTTGAATGCAATTTCCATTTGAGCCATGGTAATCGATTTAGAAAGAGAATGAGGCAAATTCAATCACAGCCAGCAAGATAAGTGTTGCTCTGAATGACTTAGTAGGTATTTTACTGCCTAGCTTAAGGAGGGCAGGAGAATAGTCCTGAGAATATTACCAAATGCTAAGATCAGCACACTACTATCCACACTGTGGAGGAAGGATTGCCCTCGAGGTTAGGCCCCTGTATTCTGATGCCAGTCATTAACCTACTTGATTAATGACTGAAGTAGGTGCTTGGGTTCCCTGTCCACATAGGGGGATTGGGGCCACACACTGAAACATCTGTGACAGACATGTCTTGGGACATCCTGATGTTGAAGAGCCCAGGCACAAAAGGTCTTTAAAATGCTGGGGTACTAGAAAGAAGCAACACAGATAATCAATGAGGACATTTCTAAGGAAGGCTTCACTAGCATATCAGTCCTCAAGTGTTCCAGCAGATGCACAGGGCTGTAGAAAACACAGGAAACCCCAGATCTGGCCACTTCTATTGATAGCTCTATGCTGTGTTCCTCCATAGCATCTACAAGCATCTCCTTTATTCCTTAGCCAGAAAGGTCATCTTTTCTCCATTGCGCAGCTTGCTGTGAGCCTCTGAGCGCCAAATGCCTCCAGTTATTCACATACCTGTAGACGCCCTCTACCAGGATGAGAATCTTTTTCCAAGCTCGGCCTGTGCGAGGCTGGCCATTGATGATAGCTTCTCTTAGGAGCTTCTCTAGGTTTTGGACATCTTTAAATAATGTGAAAAGAAAAAAAAAAAACCGAGTTATGAGAGTGCCTTTTGCTTACCTTCCTCTTTTTGTTTCTTTCGAGGTTGTCAGAATTATTATTTTTTTTAAGTTTTAGATTTATACTCAGACCTGGACTTTGAGATAGCAAGGTTGGAACAAGAAAATACCTGGGGGACTTGGGGCTTATTTTCTACTAAAGCTTAGCTCTGGTCGGATGAATGGTTGTGTCTGTACAAGCAGGTTGAATCAGTTTAAGGCTTATTTAAGCTTCTCTTTGCTTGCTCGAGAGAACTTGGAAGTCTGTGCTGTAGACCAGTATTGAGTGAAGCTGAGGCTTTGTGGCTAGGCAAAGCTGAACTCTGATCCATGAAACAAACAACCACTCATCAGTTGTTTAGACCCCAGTCTGTTGGGGTTTGCAGAGAGTACCTGCATGGTGCTAGAGGTCTCATTATCCTTGGGGACTTGAATTTTGAACTGTCAGATGTTTTAGCACTGTTCAGGTTGTGAAGTAATTGGCAGTCCTGTGTGAAATATTTGTGAGCTTTGGATACATTACTAGTAGTTGACAATTACCGAGCCCCATTTTTATGCCCAATATCCTTCTAATGCTATTTTTAGTCATATGTCATTTCATTCTCACAAGACCCCTGTGGAGAAGGTACCACAGGTTCTTTATGTGGTAAGTCAGGCAACTGAGGCACAGAGGATTTCATAAACTAAGGCACTGGTTCTCAACCTTCCTAATGCTGTGACCCTTTAATACAGTTCCTCATGTTGTCATGACCCCACAACCATACAATTATTCATTGCTACTTCATAACTGTAATTTTGCTACTGCTATGAATTATAATGTAAATATCTGATATTCAGGAGAGCTGATGTGTGACCTGTGTGAAAGGGTCATTCAACTCCAAAGGGGTTGCAACCCACAGGTTGTGAACCAATGGTCTAAGACCTATGATTGTAAATGGCAAAGTTGGGTTTTGAAATTGTACTAAGTTCCATATTTTTATTTTTTATTTTATTTTATTTATTTATTTATTTTTGTTTTTTGAGGCAGGGTTTCTCTGTGTAGCTTTGCGCTTTTCCTGGAACTCACTCTGTAGACCAGGCTGGCCTTGAACTCACAGAGATGCGCCTGGCTCTGCCTCCCGAGTGCTGGGATTAAAGGCATGCGCCACCACCGCCTGGCTTAAGTTCCATATTTGTAACCACAAATTTTTACTGCCTTTTGTGAGAGACCTTGTACCACTTTCTCAAGCTCCATAATGATGCAGGACAGGATGAATGGCTGGTAGAACATCCCTGTTTGCTTTTAATGCAAAATCAAAAATAGTGAAAATAGAAGATGGCTAGGCTTGAGTCAAGAAGCCATTTGGAAGGACTTAGGAATCAACTCAGCTACTTGGTGTTTATATGTGTTACTTGAATTTCAACTTTAAAGCCAACATGAGTGAAAAATTACAGAGGTTAATGTGCATGTTTATGTAGATTTATTGTATTTGTACTATATATTTTTGCTCAAGAAAACCCACCAATCCTTGGCTATCCCCAGGGGAAGATGAGAGACAGCTAGAGAGGTTTCTTGAGTTCAACCAGGCTGCTGAATGACAAACAAGTGCTACTCAGTGCATGCTGCTGAGGTCTTAAAACTATTTCTTGTTATAATAATAAACTAATAGAGTCTCAGAAAGCCCTTCATGAGCTAGTCTCTGAAGGTGTCTTCCCTGAGACGCCTTCTGTGCTGTTTTCAACACACACCCTCCTGCTCTCCTATGTTGTTTTTGCCTCTTGTCTGTCTGGAAGGCATCCACTCATCACCCAAGCCCTACTTTTGACTTGTCAATGACACATACCCGAGCAAGTATTTTTCTCTCTCTCCCTCTCCTGTCATAAATAATCTATTATTCTTTGAAGCACTTATCACCTAACTTGTTGTTAGCATTCATGTCTCTACTCCACAGAAGGCAGGGACCATTGCTTGGTCTTGGTCTAAGTACACAGTATTAGTATTACATCAATTTTGGATGATCAAATTCATATTTATTTTTATGGATAAAGAACATGTACCACGATGAGGAAAAGATCTAGATAAGAGTTACTAGAGAGGACAGTTGTATTTTGTCTGGATCTAAGGTGTCCTTAGCAAATTGTATTTTTTGTTTTGGTTTCAGAGTCTCCTCTCTTCTGAACTGTTTTCAGTCGATGCCACATCACTCACCACTAGATGGCAGCCAAGGAGACAAAAAGCAACTTTCCTGTTTCAGATTCCCAGGGCTCATAAATCCTCACCTGTATTTCTAGCTTGTTTTTACTTTACCCTAGGCTGACCATTTAAGGAACTCCCGGGAACAGAGGAGACAGATTCCCTGTTCTATAATCTACTGCAGGCTATTAGCTTATGAATGGACAAAGAGATGATGAATAAGAATGAGACATGATGTGGGTGGTTTTATCCATCCTGATAAAAGTAAGTCCAACTGAAATAAACTAGAAGTTTTTTTTAATGCAATGATATAAAATAATACTTGTTTTAAAAGTCATTTCTGTATAAAGGTTCCGGAATAATGGGACATGAAGCACTGAATGGGTGTGAGAGGGCAGGGTAGAAGAGGGAATACTGGGAGGGATAGTTAACACTAATGACCTTCTGAAAAACTCATGAGAATATGCTATGTAGAAGCTTCCCAAAATACAAACATATATAGAAAAAGTTTAAGTGGACTTAATGGTAATGGGGCAGCAATGCCCTTGCTAGACACCACAGACTAACAAATAGAGACACTAGTGTCATGAATGGATGGCCTCTGTGAGAGTTGTTGGCAAGTAAGTTCTCCTAGAATCACCAATACTACAGGCTATTGTCATTGTTTTTTATTACCTCCCAGAACTCGATGGTAAGAAACTGTTGCTGAAGACACTACATATTTGAGTCATAGAACTTGGAGAGATCAAGCTGGTTCTAGCCTGGAAGCTTCATCCCTATTTTCATAGTACTAAAAGGTACTATGTTCTTTGTTGGAGGAGAAAAGTAATCATCAGTCTTACCCAGCTGTGAATTCCAAAAGCTCCAGTAACTGTCAGCCTGATATGCCCACTGTGCAATAGTGGCAGGAATGTCATGGAAGTAACCAGCTACTTTGTTATCCTAATTAAGGCCTGTTCTACAAGATGTGGCACTTTATTTGTGGCACTGTTTGTGAAGCCAAAAACCTGTGGCTAGACAGGCCCTAGGTTCTAGGAAAAAACTTACTATTATTACTCTGCTAAATGAACATAGTATTAAACTAACTCCTAGTGGCTTATTGTATTCCCATAGATTAGTGCTTCTCTCAAACTTCACCAGAGAAGCTTCTTTTTTTATAGTAGATAATACTCAACACAGAGAACCATGACTGGTCAAGGTGCTGCAAATGAGAGACTTTGGAATGCTCATCCTTAAATTGACATCTATATTATATCCCTTCCATCCAAGGCTCAAGGATCATTATGGAAGAGGGGGCAGAAAAATTGTAAGAGACAGGATGGTGGATCACAAAGTGTCTTCTAGACATAACAAGGCAGTTGCACATATGAATTCTAAGCTATTGCAACAGCGTGCACAAGAAAAATCAAAATAGACAAAATGTCAGAATAGAGAGGAGATGTGGACACAGAAGAATCCCATCCTTAGGTAAGGATAGCTGCCAGAAAGGAAGAGTTAGTTCTCTTTAATGGTGTGTCTTTTGGTAGGTTGACTGTGCTCCAACCAATGTCCATATACCTGAAGGTAGATTGGTAGCACAAATTTGATGGGTTTAAAAAACTGAGGATACGAAGTTGGGTGGGAATGGAATAGGGGATGGATATGGGAGGAGTAGGGCAGGGGGCCAATATGATAAAAATTATTGCCAAAGAATTAGTAGAAATATTTAAAATAAAAAAATGAGTGTTCCAAGATTTAAAAAACAAATCTGTAAACCACAAATGACTGAGTAGTGTCTTCTGTAGTGGTATTGTGTCACCGAAATATTGTGTACCTTAATAAACTTACCTGGGGTCAGAGAACAGACAAGCCACTAGTTAGTCAGTGATAGCACACGCCTTTAATCCTAGCATTCCAGAGATAGAAATCCCTCTGGATCTCTGTGAGTTCAAGGCCACACTGGAAACAGCCAAGCATGGTGACACACCTTTAATCCCAGAAAGCCAGCCTTTAATCCCAGGGAGTGGTGGTAGATAGCAGAAAGATATATAAGGCGCGAGGAACAGAAACTAGAGGATTTTGGCTGGTTAAGCATTTGGCCTGGTTAAGCTTTCAGGCTATGGAGCAGCACAGTACAGCTGAGATTCATTCTGGATGAGGACACAGAAGCTTCCAGTCTGAGGAAACAGGACCAGCTGAGGAACTGGTAAGGTGAGATAGCTATGGTTTGTTCTGTCTCTCTGATCTACCAGCATGGACCCCAATAACTGGCCTCGGGTTTGATTTTATTAATAAGACTCCTTAAGATTCCTGCTACAGTCTTCTATGGGGAGAAGATTCTAGTGGAGTTTGTGAAAACCCTAGTTGCCACATTTCTTCAAAATGCTCCAGAATCCTCAGAAAGGGTTGTTAGAAGGGAGGCACTCAGGAAGCCTCACTCCTGCCTGAGTATTTATAGGAGGTTAAAGCTGGGGGGGGGGGGAGGCAACATGGACGGACATTTTCTTCAGTGGTGTAGCCACTGGGTATCTGTTTATTCCCCTATAAATAATCCTTTACCCATGCTTCTCCAGGCAATCCTAATGAAATTTATTAATTCACAACAATATGAAAGTAGAAAGGGGACTCATTAGGCTGAAATATGATGAAAATACATTATATACATATATGAAAAGTCACAATTAAACACATGATTGTCTATAATTAACATAGGCTAATTAAGAACATTAAAAACTGTTCTAGAATCAGTGAAGAATAAACACTCAGGCCCCTGGTTGGAGCCGGTTCCTAAACTTAAGCTGGACAGCTGGAGAATCTTTTTTACGAAATGTAGTGAGCCAACTTAGGAATAGGTTGTTTCACTTCCTCCAGTAGAGAACACAGAGAGATTCTTAGTACCTGTGCTGGTTTGAAAGAGAATGGCCCCTAAAGGGAATGGTGCTCTTAGGAAGTGTGGCCTTGTTGGAGTAGGTGTGGTTTGTTGGAGGAAGTGTGTCAGTGTGGAGGTGGGCTTTGAGGTCTCATATGTGCTCAAGCCACTCCCAGTATGACAGACCACTTCTTGTTACCTGCAAGATGTAGGATTCTCAGCTCCTTCTCCAGCACCATGTCTGCCTGCCATTCTTTGCTCCCCACTCCCAAGAACACCCCCTTTTTAGTCTGCAGAACTGTATTTGATCTGGAAAAGTAGAAGCTTTAAATTAACCACAAAAGGGAACTGGTGTTTATATGTGACTCCCTGGGTCCCTCATCCCTCAGGTAATTCTGGCAGCCATGGTTAGGAATGAGGTCTTGGACACTGTGGTAAGCTGCTTGATGGTACCCCGTTCCTGGGCTGCTTTCTCCTCTCTGCTCCTCTCTCTTCTGCTGTGCTTCTCCAGCTTACTTTCTAATTAAGAGAGGTTTCTCCTTAAATCTTTATCTCAGGGTCTGCTGCTGGGAGAAAAGAACCAAGACCAAGCAACAGACTTGAGGTCTGGCTCCTGACATTTGACGTTTGGGTAACTTCAGGGACGTAACTCAGTCACTCTAGGGTCAGTTTTCAGTGATGTGTAGGTGATACAGAGCTATGTGTTGTGGTTGCCACAGAATTGAGTGAACTAATTATTTAAAGGGTGAAATAGGTCTAGGACCAGTGATTCTGAATTTTAGCTGTGACTTATTTTTTTCCACATTTTACTATCCAGGACTACTAGCCTGTGGTTATAAAACTTCTGGTCTCAGCTTTAAACTGAACATTGCTGAAAATTAACTTCTTGGTCCTTTTCTGTCCATAGCAAGAGACCTTTGAAGGTTCCTTTCAGAAATTTTTTTTCCCTTTCAGAACTTTCTTTCTGCTTAGTGCTCTCAGTATCTATTTTTTGTTACCTATACAGAACTTAAGAGCCAAGAATACTGATTTGTTTGTAGGTACCCTATGACAAAGAGTACACTGTGTGAATCAGGCTAGATGCTCCTTTCTCAGCTATTTGAGGAATATTGTGATGGTTCATCTTGACTGACCCTTGGTGGGATTTAGAGCCTCCTTGGAGATGAATCTCTGAGCATGTTTTTGAAGGGCATTTCCAGAGAGATTTAACTTAAGAGACATGGTAACCTATCCTGAATGTGGATGACACCATTTCATATGATGGGTTCCTTGACTGAAAAGGAGAAAGCAACCTGAGTGCTCGTAGGTATTCCTGTGGTTGATATACTGTGTATCCTAATAAACTTACATGAGGGCTAGAGAACAGAACAGCCACTAGATTAGACATGGAGGCCAGAAAATGGTGGCACACACCTCTTTAATTCTAGTATTCCAGAAACAGAGATCCATCCGGATGTCTGTGAGTTCAAGGCCACACTGGAAACAGAGCTAGGCATGGTGGCACACATCTTTAATCTCAGGACTTGAGATCTCATGTCCTGCTTGGGAAAGACACATGCCTTTAATCCCAGGAAGTGATGGCAAGAAGCAGAAAAGTATATAAGTCATGAGGTCCAGGAACTAGAGAACCTTTAAGATTTTGGACTTTTAGCAGCAGTTCAGCTGAGATCCATCTGGATGAGAACTCAGAGGCTTCCAGTCTAAGGAAACAAAATCAGCTGAGGAGTTAGTGAGGTGAGGTTGGCTATGGCTTGTTTTGTTTCTCTGATCTTTCAGAATTTACCCCAATACCTGGCACTGAGATTTTTATTAATAAGACCTTTTAAGATTTGTGTTACACATTCCTTTCTGCTTCTTGAGTGTGGACGGCATATGACAACCTCCTCATGCTCCTGCTGCCCTGACTCCATGCCATGCTGCACCCTGAAACTCTGAGTCACAGCCAGCCTGCCTTCTTCAGGTTGCTTTTGCCTGGCATTTTGTCAAGCCATGGGAAAAGTAAGTCATGCAAGTGGAAGATGTATAAAGAGATCTTGGGATAGAAAACTGTCCACAGGGGGGAAAAATTAGGTTTCGTGAAATCTCGTGGTCTCAGTCGGTGTTTTAGAATGTCCTAATATGGGCAGTCATCCTTCAGAACTTGTCTTTCCACTGAGAGCAACAATTAATAAATGAGAAGCTTTTGTAGGGCAAAGGACACAGTAAATAAGATAAAATGACAGCCTACAGAATGGGAAAGGATCTTCACCAACCCTACATCTGACAGATCTCCAAAAATATGTTAAGAATTCAAGAAACTAGACATCAAAATACCAAACAATCCAATTAAAAAAATGGGCTACAGAGCTAAACAAATAATTCTCAACAGAAGAATCTCAAATGACTGAAAGACATTTAAAGAGTTGCTCAACATCCTTAGTCATCAGGGAAATGCAAATCAAAATGACTCTGAGATACCATCTTACACCTGTTAGAATGGAACATGATTAAAAACACTGATGACGGCTTATGTTGGAGAAGCTGTGGAGCAAGAGGAACACTCCTCCACTGTTGGTGGGAATGCAAACTTGTACATCCACTTTGGAAATCAATATGGCAGTTTCTCAGAAAATTGGGAATCAATCTATCTCAAGACCCAGTTATACCACTCTTGGGCATATACCCAAAGAATGCCCAATCATACCACAAGGACACATTGCCAACTATGTTCATAGCAGTGTTATCCATAATAGCCAGAACCTGGAAACAACCTAGATGCCCCTCAACCAAAGAATGGATAAAGAAAATGTGGCACTTATACACAATGGAGTATTACTCAGCAGTAAAAATCAATGACATCATGAAATTTGCAGGCAAATGGATGAAACTAGAAAATATCATCCTGAGTGAGGTAATCCAGACTCAGAAGGACAAACATGATATGTACTCACTCATAAGTGGATACTAGATGTAAAACAAAGGATAACCAGACTACAATCCACAGCTCTAGAGAAGCTAGCTAACAAGGAAGACCCAAAGAGGGATGTATGAATCACCAAACGAAGGAGAAATAGATGAGATCTCCATGAGTAGACTGGGGGTGATGGGGGAAAAATGAAGGGTAGGGGATGGGGGATGAGAACATAAGGGAACAGGATGTTCAAGCTGGAACAGAGATGGAGTAAGAGAGCAAGGAAAGAGAAACCATGATAGATGGAAACATCATGGGAATAAGGACAAACAAGGTGTTAGGGAAGTTCCCAGGGATCCACAAGGATGACTCCACCTTAGACTACTAGCAATATTTGAGAGGGTGCCTGAACTGGCCTACTCCAGTAATCAGATTGGTGAATGCCCTGTCAGCATAGAGCCTTCCATTTGATGGAAGCAGATGCAGAGATCCACAGCCAAGCACCAGGCTGAGCTCCAGGAGTCCAGTCGATGAGAGAGAAGAGGGATTCTATGAGCAAGGGACATCAAGATCATGATGGGGAAAATGTACAGATACAACCAAACCAAACTAGTGGAAACTCATGAACTGTGGACCAATAGCTGTGGAGCCCATGGGACTGGACTAGGCCCTCTGCATAGGCGAGACAGTTGTTTAGCTTGAACTGTTTAAGGGGCTCCCCGGCAGTGGGATCAGCATCTATCCCTCGTGTATGAGTGGGCTTTTTGGAGCCCAGTGCCTATGGTGGGACAACTTACACAACCTTGATGCAGTGGGAGGGGCTTGGACCTGCCTCAACTGAATGTACCAGGCTCTGCCGACTCCCCATGGGTGTCCTTGCCTTGGAGGAGGTGGGAATTGGGGCTGGGTTGGGGGAAAAGACTGAGGCAGGAGGAGGGATGAGAGGGGGATCTGTGGTTGGTATGTAAAATGAATAGAAAATTTCCTAAAAGAAGAACTTGGGCTGGAGAGATGGCTCAGAGGTTAAGAGCACCGACTGCTCTTCCAGAGGTCCTGAGTTCAATTCCCAGCAACCACATGGTGGCTCACAACCATCTGTAATCAGATCTGGCGCCCTCTTCTGTATACATGATAAATAAATAAATCTTAAAAAAAAAAAAAAAAAAAAAAAAAAAAAGAACTTGACTTTCGGGCGCTCTGGTCTGGAACATGGCGGCGCGGTCGTTGTGGGCGGTTCAGCGGCTGCAGCGCCTCCTGGCCTCCAGGATCGTGTCGCAGAGCTGGGGATGGCTCCACCCATTCAGCACTGCCACCCCAAGAAAGGCTGGGGAAGACTGCAGTTCTGAGGACCCTCCTGATGTACTCAGTCCCTCCCTTGCTGAACAGGCCTTAAGGCTAAAAGCTGTTAAACTGGAAAAAGAAGTCCAAGATTTAACACAAAGATACCAGAGAGCTGTCGCTGATTCTGAAAACAAAAGGAGACGAACCCAGAGATGTGTGGAAGACGCCAAGATATTTGGAATCCAAAGCTTCTGTGAGGACTTGGTGGAGGTGGCAGACATTTTGGAGAAGACTGCTGAGTGCTTTTCAGAAGGAGCCAAACCCGAGGACCACAAGCTCACTCTGGAAAAAGTCTTTCAAGGACTGTCTCTTTTAGAAGCATAGCTGAAAAGTGTGTTTGCCAAGCATGGCCTAGAGAAAATGACGCCCATTGGTGACAAATACGACCCTCATGAGCATGAACTCATCTGTCACATGCCAGCAGGTGTTGGGGTACAGCCTGGCACTGTGGCATTAGTACGACAAGATGGCTACAAACTTCATGGCCGCACCATTAGACTTGCCCAAGTGGAAGTGGCCGTGGAGTCTCAGAGAAGGCTATGAACGAGCCACCAGGAACTAAAACTCTCCCAGGGTCCTGGCCCCTCCGTCCCCTTATTTATTAAGCTGGTTTGTATTATACATGAGGTCCTTCGTGTGCTCTGCTTTGGATTTAGTCATATTGGCTTTATCTCTACAGTATCTTATTGGTTTTATGTGGCCTGTTGGGTCTCATCCGAAGTCCTGCCACTGGGCATCTGAACAATGTGACGAGTGTCCTGTGGCCTTTATCAAAATGTTTACAAAAATCATTTAAATTGGTACTCTGATGACTGAATCCAAAATCCCTTAACTGTGTTTTTAACTAATGACTGGAATTAGTGTAGCAGCATCTTGGGTCTTGTATCTTATGGGAAAGGGAGATGGTAGGGATTGGTTTGACATTTAGTACTTAGATGACAAAGCTTTACCTTGTATAAATTTAGAACAGTTGGGTTGACTTCTACAGAGATTTTTCAAGGCTGCTTTTCTATTTCATTTTTCATTTAGTCATCTTTTGTACTTGTATTCCCTGCTAGGGGCGCACTTAAATTCTTCCATAGCCACCCTTTTCTGATCCCATTTGGAAGGGCTAAAGAGTCGGACCAGTCTTCCTTTTTTTCTTGTTGGTAAGGTGTACTCTTTTACTAAACTGGTCTCAAGTCTATGAACAGGTAAGCTCTGGCTGCCTCGACAACACAACCCACTCCCAGGGAGACCAAAAGCCTCCTTACATCTCAAGTTAGAGAGTCAGGCATGGGGGGCCAGGCATAGTGGCTGACCATTCAAAATGAAAAGCAGAGGACTGGGATGGATGACTTTTTGCAGTACATAATTTACACAAAAGCAGTGCTGCTGCCTCCCTTGCATGCACCCAGAGTGAACTGGGCCATCCTTTCCGTAGGGTGTGGTGCTGCTCTGGAGAGGACAAGGGACGTCCTGTAGCAACAACAACAAAAATGCACTCCAAGTCCTCAGCCACGTTGTCACATTGTAAAACTTGGGGGGGGGGTGCTTACCCCAATCAGCTGCTGTCACCTTCGCCATTCCACTTTTTAAATCCTGAGTCAAAAGCACCCCCCCCCAAATTATATGTATTTATACTTGACAAAAAGAAAAAAAAAAGAACTTGACTTTCATGTTATTAGAGTTTATCTGGTATGGTTGCATGTGTCATACATGCAAACTTGGCATCTTCTACAGAATCTTAACTAGCTCCCATAGGATGTCACTCTAATCTATGGATGAGTGTTCAAGAGTAAAGCATCATGGTATTGGGTGCATTGTCCTGAGTATCACAAAGCTGCAAGTAGACCCAGTAGAAACAAATATCATATATATATTTGCCCATCTAATTCTTTTGCCCTCTGTACACCTTCTCACTTCCTTCACCTCTCAAGTAGAGGACCCTGGATATAGCCCTGCTCCCTAAGGTGCTGCTTTCATGATGTGACTATGGCATAAAGCTCCGTGATGCAAGCTGATAAGAGGGAGCAAAACCTCATATTTCTTTCTTACTGCCATTGCAGGAAAATAGTTCAAATTGGTGACTAAAATAAGACCAACAAGGTTTTACAAATCTGGACATCAGAAGCCGCAATGTGTCTGCCTGGGGTAATTCACAGCTTTGGCAGGATGGGCCATGTTTCTGAAAGTTCTGGAGCCCACTGCACTTTCTCGTAGTTTCCCATTTCCTTGGCCCCGCCTTGCTTAGAACATGGTCCTTTTCCATCTTCAAAACTAAAAATGGCAATTGCAGTCTCTCTCATATTGCACTTCTCTGACAATCCTCATTTTGCTTCAATTCCCACATTTAAGGACCATATTATCACACTGGACCCCTGCAGAAGCTTTATTTTAAAGTTAATCAACTGGCCACAGAATTCTCTCTATAATTTTAACTTCCTTTCCAGGTAATGAGGCATTCACAGGTTCTGGGGACCAGAGCATTGGCATGTTTCGGGGAAATTATTTTGCCTTCCACAGAAAACTGAGCAACAGCAGCTCATTCATAATGGATGTCTGTGGACCAGGAGTTGGTAGATGATGACCCAACTGCAACAACGAATTAGCAAGGGCAGCATTTCCCCAGACAGTTCCAGATTTCATTGTTGCTCTGTAGAATCATCTTTTAAAAAAAGTTAAATTAGCATACAAAATAACAGGTCTCTCTATGTCATTTTTACACACACTTTCTTTGACTTGATCCTCTTCTCTAGATTATTTTGAGAGAGAGGGTTTCTTAAATATCTTCAAACTTTAATCTTTTCATCTACTAGTTAGTTTCCATCTCATTATGTTTTCTGCAGGAGTAACTGACTAACTAAATAAATAGAAAGAATGTCAATAGCTAGACATCTGGCATTCAGTAAATTCTCAATAAGTGCTACTTTCTGGTACAAAATGACTACAACTGACATGTATTTAAATATAGTGTCATATATTTTCCTCAGAGTAAGAAGACAGCATGAATAGTAAAGTTATTGAATAGGTTGAATATTCACAAAAGCTCTGTAGAAAATAGATAATTAAAATTTAATACTAGTTATAATCCCAACAGAGTTGAAGACTTTAAAACAGCAATGTATTTGAACATATTTAAATTTTGGAAAATTGTAAGAATAGGAACATTCCAAAACACCCTTATTCACCTGACCCAGATTAGTGTTTCAACACATTATCTCACTTGCTCTATCTATGTATCTATATATGTATGTATGTATCTATCTATGTATCTATCATCTATCATATATATCTATCTGTCTAGTCCATTTATCTATCTGTCTATCTATCTATCTATCTATCTATCTATCTATCTATCTATCTATCTATCTATCATCTATCTAATCTATCCACCCACCATCTATCTAATTCTTTCTTCTGAATTGAGACTAAGCTGCATATATCATACCCTGTACCTATAAATAGTTCACTACATCTTCCCTAAGAATAGAGGTATACTTTTATATGACCAATTAACTTATCCTGTATGGAACCAGATGTAGTATCTTAGGCTTTATGAACCACACATGCTCTTTGTCACACACTCCTCTTTGTTTTCTCTATAACCCTTTACAAATGTAAGCTCACAGGCGATAGATAGTATAGTTACCCACCTTGATACATTACTCTTAGTACTGTTATTTGTCTATCTTCTGATTTTACAGTTTGGCCCAGGAATAGCATCATCTCATGTCACTCAGGTGTACTTGTCACAATCTTCAGTATTCTTTACAGTAAAGTGTTTCCTTTGATTGTTTTTGTCTTTTATAATATTGCCAAGATAAGTCCTTGGCCTTTGTCAGGCATCTCTAATTTGGAGTTTTCTGCTCTGTATGCTATGTAAGTGGTGGAGAATCCTCAGATATCCCATTGAAGATAAAATGTTCATGTACCCATCACTAATGGTGTTGGTGTTTCCAGCTGTCCAAGCGTTGTGTGATTTCTTCCTGATGTAGTGACTAGTCTCTATCCTGAGTGTGGCTTCACAGACATTGTTATCCTGTGAGTAGAACCTGAAGGAAATTCTAAATGGCTGCTTGTGTGGTGTGGTTGTGTTACTTCTTTTAGGTTAAACTACTGTGGGTCCTGAATAATCACTGACTAGTTGGATAGTAAGACACAGTCAGTGGTTGGACCAATCTATTTAAGTATTTAACATAAGACTGTTTTATATTGCTCTGCTTAGAAATTTTCCCGACTACCGGGGTGGCAAAACAAAACAAGAAGACATGAATGTTGTAAAGGGACTCATGATGAGGAAGGAGGTGACAGGAATGGGAGGAAGGTAAGAAGGGATGGGGGTGAGAGTAACCAGAGCTCATTGTATCAGATATGAAATTGGAATGAAATAATTAATACAAAAATCTCTAATAACATTTAGGTCTTCTGCCTTTTATTGTACATTATAGACGTGCAATATATTATAGTTTCAACCCAAAGATTTGTATATACGTTGGTCTGGAGGTGGGAGCAATCATTAATCTGCCTCAGATGTTCCCTAGATGCCTATATTTTACAGTTTGGTTCACAAACTACTGTTTAGTAGAATGGAATGAAGAAATAAGATATTAATCTTGACAATGACCCAGCTCACTTGTCCCAAATAAATCACAACCCAGCTCTGTCTATTCTAGAAGTGAGATTATGGTGTTAACCATATACATGGTCTATTCATTTCCAGAGATAAGTTCCTACCACCAGTCATCTGTCATGTTGAAGATTCAAAGATGAACATCACACTTGTGCTAACACCAAAGAATTGGACTGGCCACTTAATAAAAAACATTACTGTTTCTTTTTCTCTGACTTCATCTTCGTCTTGGCAGAGCTTCGTTAAGTATACCAGCCTGACCTGGGGCTTATACAGGGACACTTGGCTCAGCCTGGGAGGAGGAGACTGGACCTGCCTGGACTGAATCTACCAGGTTGAACTTAATCCTTAGGGGAGTCTTTGCCCTGGAGGAGATGGGGATGGGGAGTGGGGTGAGGGGAAGGCAGGGGGTGGTGGTGGGAGGGGGGAGAACAAGGGAATCTGTGACTGATATGTAAAATTAAATTAAATTATAAAATTAATAATAAATTAATAAATACATAAATAAATAAAAATAAAAAAGATACCAGCCTGGCATTGAACTCACAATCCTCTTAACTGAGCCTCCTGAGTGCTAGGATTCCTGGAAGGAGCCATTATCCTCAACTCAAACATACTTCTTAAATCCCTGAAAGCTATGTACTTCAAACATGAATTCTTAGTACTACCAATGTAATTTGAAACTGGATGTGATAATAGATGGTAAATCAACATAATTGAAGGGATTTATCTTATCAAATAACAAAATGAAAAGTGAAATATTTGTTGAAAATATAAGAAATGAGGCCACCATACTTTTAATTACACTGAACTAAATATCAGAGTTGAGCCACATGTCTGCATGTCTGCATGCCTGCATGTCTGGAGTGCCTGGCCCTGGTCCTCTCACCTCATCATAGCAATCTGTTCACAGATGCTAAAAGTGGTTCTCCAATGCATGTCAATCCCCATCTGCTGTGGGATATTTGATACCCTGAGACTGTGCTCAAGATAACCTTGAATAAGGGGGCAGAACCAGTGACTAGCAGTGGAATTAGCCATAGAGAAGCCAGGGATACCAACAGAGGAGACTCACAGGAAGGAGTAGGGAGGGACTTAGAGATTTTACACTCTCTTCCATCTTTATTGAACACTCCACTAGTTAGAAAAGGGATTCTCTGGGTTCACTTGAGAACACTTGTGCATTTTCTTTCTTCCCTCATGAGACAATTGTTCTTTGGCTTGAGATTATGCTGAGGAAGGCATAAGAGAACCGGGATAATCCTTCCTGCTCATTAGCAGTCTTCTTTTCCTTTTCTCTTGTGAATTCTTTGAAGGAAGGGGTGTATTGAGGAATAGATCAAGGAAAGTTGAGGGGAATGGAAAGAAAGAGAGAAAGGTGGTAAGAAATAGAAGAGAGTGTGCTAATGTGTGTGTGTGTGTGTGTGTGTGTGTGTGTGTGTCTTGTGAGCATGCACATAAAATGAAGGGGAGCCTCTGATGCTAATGTACCAGAAGCAGAACTTTAACAGATCGTATAGGTCAATGCTTTTCTTAGCTTTACAGATGAGGACGTTGAGTGCAAGAAAGATTAAAGGATTTGCAGAAAGTGACATGAGTCAGGGGCACATCTGTATCAGAGGACATAGGTGTCACCAGCCATGACCTGCTTCTTTTAAGGTGTTTTCCTGAGACTTCCAATAATGTCTGATCTGACCCATAAAGAGTGAAGAAGGGCGGTGGTGGTGGTGCACGCCGTTAGTCCCAGCACTTGGGAGGCAGAGACAGGTGGATCTCTGTGAGTTCGAGGCCAGCCTGGTCTACAGGGTGAGTTCCAGGACAGGCACCAAAACTGCACAGAGAAACCCTGTCTTGAAAAACATAAAAAAAAAAAAGGAATTTATTCAGGAGCTGGAGAGATGGCTCAGCAGTTAAGAGCACTGACTGCTCTCCCAGAGGTCCTGAGTTCAATTCCCAGCAACCACATGGTGGCTCACAACCATCTGTAATGAGATCTGGTGCCCTCTTCTGGCCTGCAGGGACACATGCAGGCAGAACACTATATACATAATAAAATAAACAATAAAAAAAAGAGTGAAGAAATAGCCTTCTACATCATTTTCACCACTCAATGACATAACAGAGCTTAGAGGGCATTGAAAATCTTTTGAGATTTTTTTTAAATTTTATTTTATGTCTATGAATGTTTGTATGCACATATGTATGTGTACCATGTGTGTGCCTGGTGCCTACAGCAGTCAGAAAAGGATATCTGATACCCTGTCATTGGAGTTACATATGGTTGTAAGCTACCATGTGGGTGCTGGGAATTGAACCTGGTTCTCTACAAGAGGAACAAGTGTTCTAAACAACAGAGCCATCTCTCTAGCTTCTGAAAGGATATTTTAATAGAGTCTAAGAGTATTTGGAGGATAGAGATATGAGCGTTTTGTATGTAGGGATAGGGAAAACAAGCATTATACCAAGAAGAACACTAACTTTTTACTTACACATAGCTCAAAATTTAAAATCTTTCAACTTTTCCAAGACAAGGTTATAGGAAGGAGAGAATTATGACATATCTGATAATTAAATGGCGTCCTAAGATATCAATCACATCTTTACAGGCCACATCACAAGATCACTAACAGTGACATTAATGTGTTTTGGTAACACTTAGCAATCTGGACATTTAATACACTTCAGCCATTTGTTTCAGGTCACCAGAGGTTAACAAGCCAGTAGTGAATATAAGCCTAATTGTCTTTCATTAGGCTAAGTTGCCAATTTGAAAAGCAAGGACAACATCTCATGAATTATCTTGACCTTTGTCTAGGAGCAAGCCAGTGCATTTTTGATAAATGCACAGATACTCACTGTTGTGTTTGAAGGGTCTTATGGTTGCACCTGAGAGTCGAGCCCCCAGGATGATAGATGTGTGGTTTAACTCATCACTTAAAATGAGGCATCCCTAGGCAGAAAACAAACACAAACCATAAGATAACGAAAGGAAAGACAACATATGGGAACTAGAAAACAGTACAACCTATGTTAAGTCTGAACTCTATTTAATTAGAAAAGTTTGAGATTCAGCTGGTATTTATATGGACAAAATCTAATCTTTCAGCTAGTTCATGAGATGGCAAGCTGTTTGTAAGACATTGCATCTTTACTGGAACACTTGCAAATAATTTTCAACAGAAGGATCGTGCCTAAGCATCAGTTAGAGTCTAAAGTATTGAGCTTTGACTGAAGACTGATATTTGCAGAGGACTGTAGACTAGTTTGGTTCCTTGATTCTGTGCTAGATTATTCTGTGCTAGATCATTAGTCCTCCTGGCAGCCTGGGGCTTCTTACAGTGGGGCATTTCAAAGTCTTACCCTCTTTTCTCATTCTGCCTGTGTTAACAGCCCATGGAGACAGAAGCATCAGTGTTTCATAGTTAAGAACTTTGAATTTGGAAAAGCGTGCATGGAAAGTCGGCATGAGGTGGGTAGAAAATACTGCTGCTCATCCATTATGCTTGTAAATTTGTTTTTCTTTAAAAATTTAAAATGAATACATTATTGAGCTGTTCAGAGGTACCCGAACTGAAGAGAAAGGATGGCTCTCTTTTGTTTTCTGTGGTCACCTGGCATTTAGTTCCCCTTATATTTTGGTAATTTCACATACAGTATGTTTTAGGTTTTTGAGGCTAAAGCTAGAAAAATTGTCTTATCTCCACACTGAAGAACATGTGTCTATTTGCAATTTTTTTCTTTTGAAACTTTTGAGAATTATTGTAAACCTTATGTGTTCCTTAGCTGTGTAATTACTGTAAATAAGGCAGTTGATACTGTCGCAGAGTTCCATATTTTTTATTTATTTATTTATTTATTTTTTTGGTTTTTCGAGACAGGATTTCTCTGTGTAGCTTTGCGCCTTTTCCTGGAACTCACTTGGTAGCCCAGGCTGGCCTCGAACTCACAGAGATCCGCCTGGCTCTGCCTCCCGAGTGCTGGGATTAAAGGCAT